TTCCTTCAACACGGACAACAGGGAGAGGAGCTGGATCGGGGCAAGCTCTTACCAGATGACAGTATGTGTGGTGGGACATGCACGTGGGGGCTGAGCCCTAGGAAGTTACACCGATACGCCTCCTCGTAGTGGTCACTGTAGGGGATAATCCGAACACAGCCTACAGGCAGCATGGTCTGCGGAAGGAAACAAACGTGGCTAGAGAAGCTTTAGACAGGTTCATGGCCATGTTTCTCTCACGCTTGTCACACCAGATGCACCTCGGAGGACTGCTAAGGCAGTTTGGGCTGCCTCGACGTATCTCACTCGGCTTGAAAAATTCCCTTTTATCAATATGGTTCTGAGCAGTAAACCACTCTCAGCCCTCCTTGGCTTAGAGGCTTAAAAACAGCATTATGGAGCCTTCAAAGGGAAAAAACTCTCCTAGGGTACATCTAGAGAACGGGGCTATTTTGGTATACTGAAGGTATCCCGAAATGGTACCACACATCTTTTAAACACACCTGTTATTTCAAAATGTTTTTCAAAATAACGGGCGTGCTATTTCGACATCCCTGTAATCCTCGTTCCACAAAGGTTACGGGATGTCTTGAAATAGTGCATTATTTTGAAATTTGGCACTGTGGAGACACACCAAATTTCGAAATCAGCTATTTCTAAATATAATCAAAATAAGATACGCAGTTTGCGTAGCACAAATGGCATATCTTATTTCGAGTTTAGGTTGCTGTGTAGACACACCCCTAGGCTATGTCTAGACTGCAGGCTTCTTTCGAAAGAGGCTCTTTCGAAAGCCTCTTTCGAAAGAACCTCTTTCGAAAGATCGCGTCTAGACTGCAGGCGGATCTTTCGAAAGAGAAATCCGCTTTTTTGAAAGAGAGCACCCAGCGAGTCTGGATGCTCTCTTTCGAAGACGGCCTATTTACATTGAAGAACGCCTTCTTTCGAAAGAGGAACTTTCGAAAGAAGGCGTTCTTCCTCGTAAATTGAGGTTTACCGCCATCGAAAGAAAAGCCGCGTTCTTTCGAAATAATTTCGAAAGAACGCGGCTTGAGTCTGGACGCAGGGGAAGTTTTTTCGGGAAAAGGCTACTTTTCCCGAAAAAACCCCTGAGTCTGGTAACGGCCTCTGAAAGCCTCAGGAGCTAGTGCCCTCTTTTTCAATTCTATTTGGTGATGCTTTCTCCACTGTTCAGGTAAAGTTTGATTTCAAACAGATCACTTCTCTTCCTGCTGGCTGTTTGCAGTGGTAAAACGCTATTATCACAGACCCTACATAAACAATAACAGCTTATTTAATGTAAAGATTTGGCAACAAAACAGCATTTTTTATTTTAAACGCTAATAGAAGTCAGAGCACAATCCCCCAACAGATTATATTTTAAGAGGCAGGTCAATTTGAGAGCCATGCAACAAGAATGAAGAAACAAGTTTTTACCCGTAGGATGTCAAAGGCAGACTGGACAAGATCTGCATCTCGTGCTTTCCAGATGACCTGGTTCCCCATTAATACATGCCACGCCAGCATGCGGAAAGCTGATGCTCCCAGGACCTGAAACAAGACAATCTTGAGCTTACTTGGATATTTAACTCCTTTCCTTCACCATTTTGGTCTATCACAAGCATGTCTGCAAAACAGCGTTCCAGCCACGTTGCTGAATACATACTGGAAATGCTAGTGAACTATTACCATAAAGTCTATCTGCACATGGCACTAGTCTAAATATGGATTTTAGCACTTGTGAAAGATGCCAGACTGACAGTCTGAGGGCTGTTGTATTAATTTAGATGGAATATAACAACTCAGAGATACAGGTGTTAATATGACCATGTCATGTTCCAACATTAGACAGTGTTAAATAAGATTCAGGGTTTGGTATACAGAGACCTCGGCCTGCTTAGTGCCATACCAAACACACGATTAAAAAGCAGGTTTGACCTTCATTAAGGATACAGAAGAAAAGAAGGAAAATAGTTCAAGGACTTGAAACATAAAGCGCCAAGTCAGCTTTATTTTAACAACCTCCATTGTTCTTTCCCTTTACAAAAATCCTTCTTTGACAGTCTTTGAGATGGTAATAAAGATGACGAGAACGGTCTTATTGGGGAGTAAAGAGGACAAGTTAGTTGAAATGGGCTGGAGTCTGATTCCGGTTCCTAGCACAACACAATAGAGGAGAAAGAGGAGAACAACAAAAAGAGAAAATGCAGCTTCTGTCTCTGGCGTTGACCTTTATTTCCTGGAAAACAAGCCCAGCGCAGTGTCTTACCAGCCACTCCAAGACCTGCCAAACTGGTACCTGCATAAGATTGTGTGGGGAAGTGCCTTTCTTCACCTTTCTAGTCCCAGGCTGACAGCAGTATTACAGTTTTTTTTTTAAAGAACCCCAAAAGAAGGAGGGATAGGAATAAATGAGCTGAGGAAGGAGAAAGGACACACACACACGAGGAGGGGAGAGGTCTCAAAGCTGAGGGGGTGTTTGGGATTCAGCTGGAGCCAAAGGAAGTGATGGCATCTGTGTTCCTCTCCCTCTTGGCCAGGTTGGTCAGATATTTAGGGATCAGAACAACAATGGCCCAATGTGTAGATCCAGGGATGCCACAAGACAGTAACAGCCTGACCGCAGCAGTTGCTGGCAAAGAGCCCCTTCTTCAGCTAATTCCCCCCCCAACATCTTTTTTTTTTTTAAAGAACCCCAAAAGAAGTGATGAGAGAGACAGCCGACCCCCTCACTATTTTGTTCACCTATTAGGCCTAATTTCTGATGCTCCAAGTTTGGTCCATTGATTTCTACTCCTACACTTTGCCAGGCAGAATTTTAACACAGTTCTTGAATTATTTCAGTTAGGCCCTTTGGTTTGGACTAACTGAGGCCAGATCTCCATGAAAGGGGAAGGTCAAATTAAGATACGCAGCTCCAGCTTTGTTAATTATGTAGCTAGAGTCAATTCACCTTGATTCTAGTTTCCCCACAGCAGGAGGTCAACAGAAGCAAATGCTCCTGTCAGCTTCCCTTAGTCCAAGCAGGAGCAGGAATACTAGCTGCTGATGGGGGCACCCTCTGAGTTCAATTTAGTGAGTCTTTACTAGACCCACTAAATCAAACTCTGGAAGAACGATTGCGGCGGCAGTTATCTTCCCCATAGCGAACAACGGCCTTCGTCTCCCTTTTCCCACCAACATGTGGTGTTATACGTTATCGTGACATTTTATAACCTGTCACTCATTTTTTGCTGTGACACTCTCAGTTCAGGTAAACGTTTGGCCGAATCACCACAGCATGACTTTAGGCCTCTGTCTCAGAGCAAACACAGCAGCAGCAGATGATACGTCCCTGCCAAAGCTCCTCTCCCCCACCTTGGACTGAATTCCATTCTTATCACAGGTGTGAGAATAGCCCCGGAAACCCAGGTGTTCATTCACACGTTGGCCTCCGAGCGGAGGCTGCCAACAAGTGAGCCGATTCGTGCCAACTGTGCTGGTAGTTTGGGTAAGGCAGACACTAGCTCACTTGAAGCTGGACAGAGATCTAACTGCATACACGTGAAGCTGCCAATACATGCCTACCCCCAATCAGCGTGCCTGCTATAACAAGTGTGGAGCTGCTACGTATTTATCTACAAACGACAAGGGCGCCATTTTGGGCGGGTAGGCGGGGCAGCAGCCGTGCGCTCTGGGATATGGCTTGCTTTTCATCATGTTCCCCGGATTATCATGGAGCGAGGGGAAAGTGCTTGCATTCCATGCATGCCTCTCGCTCCTGGGAGTTAGAGATGCAGTTCACCTGTTAATCGTGACCTCGTGCCTCAAATGCCAGTTGGTTTTCAAGTTCTTTGCTGACTCACATTTGGGCAGCATTGCTGATACTCAGAGGTAGATGAAACAAGGTACTACCAGGAAAGAACTGGATTTAGACCCCAAAAGAAAAGCATGTGAGTGTAAAACAAAATCCATGGCAGTAAGTAGCCATTCTCTTCCACACCAGAAAAGAACTGGATGTAGACCCCAAAAGAAAAGCATGTGAGCGTAAAACAAAATCCATGGCAGTAAGTAGCCATTCTCTTCCAAATACAGGCTCAGAGTTCAGAAAACACCCAGGTAAAGGCTCCAGTCCTCCTTCCCTACCTGTCTCATGTGCCTGAGGGACCGGAAGATGGACAACCTTCGGGGAGCTATATTCCAGCTACTGCAATCTGACAGAGATGCGTCTGTTGGGCATTTAGTTAGCTCCCGCCCTTCCACAATCTCTGACTGGGTAGAAGGCTTCTCCTCTTCTCCCTCGGAGCCATCCCAGCCTTCAGACTCTTCTTTCAGGTCTCCAAGAAAAGAGAAAGACCAGTCACAAAAATGCTCCAAACACAGCAACTGCCCCACCGCTCAACTGCTGAATACAATCTCGTGTCGTTTCACACTCGAGTTGCTATGGTCAGTTTGGGAGAAAGGGAGGAAGTGGATGGGCCTTCTCAGGATCGGAGTATTTGCAGCTTATAATGCATGTCAAGGTAATACGTAATTAAGCCTCATGCTTCGGGGCCAGAGGTGAAAGTCAGCTGGGGCGCCCTGGTGCACCACTTCGGCAAGAAGGAGCCGGCGGGCTGGGGCACTCGGCTGCAGCTGCTCCCAGCTGGCCAGGCTCCTGTCAGCAGGCTGCTGCACCAAGCAACAGGTAGTTAAAGAGGCCAGCTGGGGACACACTCCTCCACTGGTCCAGGACTGCCCCAGCACTGCAGCCTCCTCCAGGGTGTCCTTTAAGGAGGGCGGGGGGCTGAAGACCCCAACCCTGAGATTCACACAAGGGTGCTGCTTGATGCTCCCCTTCCCATCTGGGAGCGAGAGGAAGGCACAGAGTGTGTGCACTCCTGGCTGGGTTAGGGTTAGCGAGTGACCCCCGCTGTGTGCTTTCCTCTCGCTTCCGAGAACAATGAAAGGGACCAGCAAACAGCATCCTGGTACGAATATTGGGGGGGCTTCAGCCCCTCTGCACTCCCTAAATAGCACCCTTGCCCCCCCCACACACACACACCACAGCCCCCTAGCCTGAGCCCCTCCTCACATCCCCCAACCCTGACTCCTGCCCCCCCCCATCCTCAATCCCCTGCCGCGAGGCCCCTCCTCGCACACACCTCAACTCTGACTCCTACACTCCCCCCCCCACACCAGCCCCCTGCCTAGAACCCCCAAACCTCTGCCCTGACTCCTGCACCCCCCCACAGCCACATCCCCCACACTCCACCCCACACTTAATTTCTTACAGGTACTGTCCTATCACAAATCCCCCCCAGCCTTGAGCCCCCACATCTACAAGCCCCTGCCCTGACTCCTGCACCCCCACACATCCTCTGAAACCCACCCCACACTCAAGAAATTTACTTTCACCTTGTTCGGGGCATAAAATGACCCCCAAAGAGTCCGGAAATAAGTTTTCACCTCAGTTGGAGCACTACACAATTGGCCAAACACACTATGGAGGTTTCTGGGTCCTTCTTTTGAAGATACCAGCCTCTCTTTGAGACAGGCTAGGCAGATACTTGAGTAGCTGGACTGACAAACTAATTCAGTGGGGGAAATCCGTGTTTCTATATATTTAGGAATTTTGTGGAACAGTACGAAAGGGGAAAGCCTCATGCTGGGCAACAATCACCTCTCTGAGCCAGCCACGTCTCAACTAGCGGGTTCAGAGATCATGGCGCTGCAAGGCTGATATGGAAACAATGAATGCACACAGGGAGACCTCGCCCCTTCACCATTTCACATCAGCTTCCTTCCCCTGTGACAGGAGAGGAGCCGTTAAGCACACTGTACTTCAGGATGGCAGAGGCAAACTCTACCTATGCTGGGGACAGGAGCCAGCATTCACGGTTTCCCGGCCAAAGCATTCTGAAACGCTCTCCCTGCTCTGGAAGCCGGGCGTCTCACCTGCAAGTTTTTCCATCTGAACCAGGGTGTCCTCTGTGGGCGCTCCCTCCAGAAGCTTCTCCGTGAGTCGGCTGCCACAGGCTTTCAAAAGCCTGGAGACGCAGGGAGGGGAAAAGAAAACAAACAAACAAACAAACATCAGCGTTCCTTTCGCCTGTCTATTGGGGGCAGAGTGGTCAGGATGGCCCCCGACACAGTGAGCGTGGCCCGAATGATGCTGCCACCGAGACACAGCTCATTTGAGGTTCCTTCAGTTCCCCATGTTGTATCTAACAAAGCAACTTGCAAAGAAATGGGGTATGCAAGCGCATTCGAAAGGCAGGCTGACATGCTGCAGTAATATACAGCTACCCCTCCAGAAAAACTCTCTGCAGCATCTCTCCAGAAGAGTTTCATATCGGAGCCTGGCCTCAGCATAGCATGCTGTGGCATTTCATTAACACACCTGCACAGGACAGGGTAAAACATCTCCTACTGTACAAGGCATGGCAGTTTGACTGCTCAGCACAAAGAGTTACTGGGTCACGAGTCAGGTGCAGGAGGGACAAAGACGAGCGTTGTTTCCTCCTGCCACTTTTGTCTGATGCTTTGGAGAGCCTGCTCCTCTGGATGAGAAAGGCTGATAAATACAGGTCCCACCACAGCCTGTCAGTACTGCTCCTGAGTCTGCTGGGACAGCTGCTGCAGAGCCACAGGAAAAGGAACAAGCAAGCTGCTGCAGCAGCATGCCCATTGCTGGCTACCTCAGGAACTTGGGGATATAACCCCACATATGACTGGAATACCAACTCAGACGCTCACCCCATGTCCCCTAGTCTAGGATGCTGGGCAACGTCTCTTATTCCGGAGACACAGACGGCATTACCAAGAAAAGGAGGTGTGCAGACACGCCCAGAGGTTCTCGTCGTCGGTCAGCGACGTTAGGGAACGGGCTGCATTACCATTCCTCTGGTGCAGGAAGGGGGTGAAGGCCGTATTCATGCGCTGGGCTCGCTGCGGGCACCCATACTGCTCAGCTTCAAACACCTGAGTGACAAAATAAAGACAGTGAAACAGAGGGCAACAGAAAAGGCATTTAAGTAAATAGGACACAGTGGAATAACTGAGCAGAGGCACCTTGTTAACATGGAACAAAGCCCATATTTCCCAACAGCTACACAATTATTACTCCGTGCCTCTTTTCCCATCAGAAGGATGGACAAATTTTTCCCTTAGATCCAGGAAAGATGGAGAAAGACCCATATTTCCCAACAGCTACACGACTATTACGCCGTGCCTCTTTTCCCACCAGAAGGATGGACAAATTTTCCCCTTAGATCCAGGAAAGATGGAGAAAGAATGACATTTATTACAGACAAGGGCTGACTGGGCTGATACATGGCTGGTTGGCACATGAACAGCACCTCTCTCAAGCTGCTATCTTATTCTCTCTCTTAAAGCTAAGATTCTGGAGAAAGAAATGGGGGGGGGGGGTATTACAGACAAGGGCTGACAGGGCTGATACATGGTGCATCTCAAGATGCTATCTTATTCTCTCTCTTAAAACTAAGATTCTGGAGAAAGAAATGGGAGGGGGGGATGTAATTCTCTAAAGTCTCTACCATTTACGGTTGTGAAGAAACCTCAAAAACATGAACAGAGTAATGGATGCAGAAATGTCTATAAATAGGCAGTGACCTTGAAAACAATTTTTAAAGCATCTCATCCCAGTCCCTAGGACTTAGGCACTTTTGAAAGTTGGACTTGGGAGCCTAAAGCACCTAAGCAACTTAAAAAATGTACAGTAGCACTGAGTGGCGTGAACTGCCCCATTCGTTCCCTAGAGGCATTATCTCAGATACCCAGCAATGACGGTTAATGTTGACATTTACATGATATCATTCCTCATGTGAGAAAAAGAGAACAGATCTGCCCAATTGCCAGCGGGAAAGACCACACATTAGCATTTGGAGATACCACCACCTATTTTGCCCACCCCAATCTGCAAACAGTCAAGCCTGAGAAACCTAGCAAAGCCTCTAGGCATAGACAAGGCCCACCAAGTGCAGATTCAGTGCTGCACAATCATATTTTTAACAGCTGCACTGTCTACCATAAGTGGCCCCTCATTCCAACGTCCCACATGGGGCAAGTATATTTTGTGGGCACAACTTGGAGGTAAATCACAATTCCCTCTGCCTCCCTTCCCCCTAAATTCAACCCCTGCTTACAGGTACCAAGCGACGGGATGGAGAGGTCTGTCGTCCCTCCTGAAGCCTCCAAAGCATGGGTCCATCCCTATGTGGCCCTTAATCCCAATATCACCATTGACAACACCTCTAGCTGCATACATGGCGCTTTACTTCGCTCCCCAGCTGTTGAACACTCCCATCCCACTTAACCTTCTTTCTCTCACCATAGTTGAGTTCTCTCTCTCGAGCACACGCACCTTGAGTGCTTTTCCCTGAAGCTCATCAATGATGCCTCGGATCTTCACCAGCAGGAAAGGCCAGGAGTTGATGAGATAGATCCGGTCCATCATTATAGTGATGATGCTGTACCAGCGCTGGAAGCCACGCGCCAGGCTGTCTTTGATGAAGAAAGTGTGACTGAACACAAAGCCATGCTGTTCATCCCCAAAGAAGATCGGGCCTTCACGTCCCGGGCAGACCTGGCAGGGAGACAGACGCGACAGGACACATTGGCTCAGCACATCGCTCAAACTGCCTCAAGCTCTTCAAGAAGAGCTTTCCCACTCCTTCGGGTGTTGCCTGCTGAGGCACAGGCAGAAGCATCACCCAACAGATAAAAGCCTGACAGGCAGAGCCAGACATCTCTGCTGCTGCCCCATGTACCTGGCACAACCTTCAGGGTAACTGGCACTTCAGAACACGGCTGTATTCTGGAGCAGCAAAGCTGATGAAGTGGGTACATGAGCTGGGGCAATCTCAACTTCTGTGAGGTTTTCCCTCCTTTTGTAAAGGCTGTAAGTTATCAGTCCACCAGGTAAGAAACAGCATTTATCAGGAGCAACAGCCTGCAAGGAGGCTTATTTTGGAAATAAATACGTTAAACAAATAGGGACAAAAGCAAGAAAGCAAACACACAGCCTTGAGATACAAATGCCTTTGCTTCAGGTGTAGAGTAGACCCCCAAAGTGAACACCGGTTCTCTTCAGTAACAGATCAAATGAGAGGGGGACAAGGTGGGTGAAGTAATCTCATCTACTGGACACGTTGGTGAGAGACACGCCTTTGGACTACACATAGCTCTACTGCAGGTCTGGGAATGTACTCAGAGAGGCACAGCTAGGTGGAACAGATTAGTTACCTTGTATGCTAAATCACGCAAGATAGCATTCCAAGTGATCAGATAACGCAAGTTCAAAATTAACTCGTCATCGCTCTGAAAAGACGGACATTTTATATAAACGCCTTCTTTATGCATCAAAGAGCAGAGTCCGGTATTTTTTGTCCTTTGCAGTCATCTTTAAAAAATTCCTGCCAAATACTGAGACCCAGGGTCCTCTGGCCATGCATTCCATTTCCAACCCCTTCCAAGTTACAAGCCGTGGAGGAGGCCGATATCAGTGAAGCTGAGTTTTAGATTAGAAACAGCACAGATTTTTCTTGCTGAATTTCATATCACTTACCTCACAACTCAGGCTGCGGACACAAGCCTGACGCACAATGCTAAACAGCTGCGGATGGTTTGGGTGCTGGTGGCTGACATATTTGATCAATGTCTCTTTGTCATGGCTGACATATCCAGGGTGTCCTGCTGCAAGAGAGCGGCAACCCTGGCCACCGAAAGAAAAGAAAAATCTTACAGTAAAGTAAGAGACAACTATTTAATATACTTATATGTAGGCCCCGTTATCACAGCACCTGACTGACTAACAATCTTCAGCATAAGTATCCTCACAAGACCCAGTGAGGTAGGAAAGTATTTACAACGGGGAACTGAGGCACCAAGAGGCAGAGTGATTCACTCTAGATCAGGAAGTCTGCGGCGCAGTAGGGACTTGATCCATTCTCCCACCTCCTAACCATCCTTTCACTCTTACAGCCTCTTTCACAACTCACTTCCTCACTGGATTTTGTATTTGACAGGGGCTATGCCACTGGCCAAATTCAGCTAGTGGTAAAGCAACTGCGAACCCACTGACATACTGAAATCTGTCACCACTAGAGAGACACGAAGCACACTAGGAATGGATTATTAGAGAGGGTACTAACGTTAAGTGGAAGAGCACCAAGGGGTACGGATGGACACACACAAAAACGTGGGCAAATACATTTAACTGGCTACAGAATTTGTTTCCATTTCCTGCGTTATACTTTTCTGTAAGTGTTGCTGTGCGTTCACTATGTGCCTGTGTTTCAGTGCTGGCAAAGCAATTCTTCTCACTCACTCACTCACTCTCTCTCTATATATATATATAAACATTTTTTTCCTGTGGGATGACAGAGTGAAGTCATCACGTCACTCTGCGTTGCCACGCGCCCAACTGCAACCCAGAACACACCCCCGGAAACAGCCTCTTGCCACACTACCAGCTCTCATGGCAGGCTTCCCTACTGACCGGCCTCTTCGCCCGCAGCCCTATCGGCTGCAGCCCCTCCAGGCCCATACGTGGAGTTTATGAAGGCACTTCCCCATAGCGGTCCAAGTAAGTGTGAGGCTGGGGTGGTCATTGCTCCAGCCTCCCTTCCAGCCTCTGCGCACGCCTTGGCCCGGACCCCCCAGCTGCTGGGGGAGAGCTGGTGCTAGTGCACCATGGCCTGGCCCTGTCTGGTGGCTGGGGGGGGGGAGGGGCCGGGGGGGGGGGGGGGGGTGTGGGGGGGGGGGCGAAGGCGGGGGGGGGGGGGGGGGTTTGGGGGGGGACCAGCCGGCGGGGGGGGG